GGCACACAGGCACCTGCCTTTAACCCCGGAGGAGGATGGTGCTTTCCTCAGAGGGGAGCTGGGCAGACCGGACTTGCCTTTCCTTGCTTTTAGCTTTTCCATTCTCATGGAGTCCATAAAAGAAGGAAATAACGTTGCTTGAAAGAAACTTTCGGAGTACACAGCCTTTGGAAACACTTGCATTTTGAAGCAGAGAGATTTGTGTTAGTTCTCACTTGAGTGCAGTCCTACAACTTTTTATTTATATCTGTCTAGACAGCCTCTCCTTCTGTCCCAAGAAGTTCCCAGTCCATCCAGCCCCATCCAAGACTAGAGAATGACAGGCTAGAATAAGCAGTGTCTGTCAGATCAGTGCTAATGCTCCAGGGAAAAAGGTGAGCCAGAAGAAGCAGCGGGACATTGGCAGATGTGCCATCTGTGGTGCGTGCCCAAAGGCAACGCTCTCGGCTGCAGTCTGAGCGTGGCTCCTGCCCGTTCCCACCGAAGAGATGTACCTCGGAAGGCCCCACTGTCCTGCTGGAGATGGGGAGGGGTGTTTCGGAGAGGAAGGCTGCTACAGACTTGGGTGTGATTTGTCTTGCTACAGAGTTTTGTCAATGCCCCAACAGCGAGTCAGCCTGACCTGAACCAAGTGTTGCCTTTGGCTGGCCTGGAGGGCTCCTCCACCAAAACCTACAGCCTGGCCGTCGTTGGGCTGGATGCCTACAGGCGGTACGTGCCAGGCGAGCGGCGGTGCCAGGGAAGCTCACAGCGGGTGGAGATCAGCAGGGGGGACACGTTCGGGGCTGAGCTGCTGACCCTTGGTGCCAGCGTGGTGGCTGTGAATCACAAAGTCCGTGCTCGTGGGGGCCGGGACGTGGGTTTTGCAGTCTTGAGGGTGTGCTTTGTGCATGCGGTTATAGCAGCCTCTGAGAATCTGGTAGCCAGAGGGGGTTCACAGGTAAGGCTTCTCTCCGTACCCCAGGCAGAGGGCCGCAGTGACGCAGAGGAGCTGAGGGAACTGCTCTCACTGAATTGCCCTGCTCTTCAATGCCCTGAGAGATGTTCAGTGCCTGGAGCCCTTTTCTTGTCCCCTGAATGTCTCGTTCGTGTGCTCCTCCCAGTGCCTGGGTCCTTCCTGTCCACGTACATGCACGGCAGAGGAATCTCCTCTGTGGTGACGGTGTGATCACTTCCAGAGTTCCCCGCATAGACACAGCTACAGCAGCTTGGTCTGTCCTGTCCCGTCTGGAGTATTTCCCAGGGAGAGCTCTTGTCTCACCACCTCCTGGGCTCTTTCTCGCTTAAGCCTGTGAGGATAAATTTTACTGAGTGTTATGTATAAAAAAATCAGCTGTGGCCTGTTGAGTTCTGCCATCAGAGGAACCAAGTGGCTCTCATCCTGGTTTCGGGTCTCCCCTTCTCTCCCTCGCAGGGGAGCTGCTGCCGCCTGGGGGGCAGCTGGCCTGGAGCAACCCCGACACCAGCTTCAAGCCAGATTGGGAGGTGGCAGATGTGGGTGGGCTAAGTCTGGCCTTGTCCTCTGCATCAGACAGCAGCCCTGAGGTGTGAACATGTGGAGCTTGTGTGTGAGCGGTGTGTCTTGCTTATAGGTGTAGCCGGGAGCAGGGCAGGCAGCAGGCGCGGAGCCCTGGGAAGCAGAGTCCCAGCTCCCAGCCTGGCCCAGAGCTGGCTATGACTCAGGAGGAGATACTGGAGGTAAAACTTCTTACAGTCCTTGAAGTTTTATGTTACTGGGTGTTGAGCTGCGTGGAAAAGGCTCCCAGTGGTGAGCTCTTGTGTGTAAGGAATGCTTTGCCAGGGGAGGTGGTGGCTGGCTTGGATCAGGTTGCATCCGCGTGCATCCTCCTTCACCCTGGCTGGCAATGGGATTGAAGAGGGACTGCAGACTTCGAGGCACGGTTTGGAGCCTCTTGTTCTTAAGACCCTGGTTCAGAGCTGACCCAGCCGCCCCTCCCCAACCCCACCAAGAACTGCCCAGTTAGCCGTGAAAGGAGCTGTTGGTTCTTGCTCAGGTCTCTGCCTTGCAGAGCCTGTGTCCCACAGCAGAGCAGGAACGCTCCTTGTGATGCCACGGCAATCATAAACTAGGTCAAATACGATCTAAACCCTTGCTTGATAGCCCTTGAACTAAATTCCTGCCCTGCCTGAGTATGCCCCAAAGGGGGTTATGACTCACTGGCTTACAGGGAGCTAAGGATGAGCAGGCTTTACTGCGGCGCTGTGTAAACGCAGAGCTAATGCAGGCAGCCCAGCCTGCCTCCCCTTCCAGCCCCAGCCCAGCTTCATCCTGCTGAGGGATGCGTCCTACCCACAAGCTTTCCTCGCTCCTCTCACTGGGTGCCTTTGGTGGCCAGGGCTGACATCAGCTACTGGCGGAGGGTCGAGGAGGGTGACGGCCCCGGGCGGTCCCGGCTCACGGCTGGCCCCCCCGAGCCTGTCTTTGTCCCGTTGGTCGACATGTTACGTGTTACACCTCTGTCGCTTCTCCTCCAGGCGCTGGTGGTGCTGCAGCTGTGGGGTAACATCGAAGTGCTGTTCCTAGACACGTGGCAGGAATTCGGCCAGCACGTCTCTGCGCTGACGAAGGCAATAGCGAAACGCCCGTACAAGTGAGTCGTATTGCTGGACTCGGTCACGTCCCAATCCCAGAGCGTTGGGAAACCTCAGTGAACATTTATCTGTGGCTGCCAGCCTGTCCTGATGCCGTCAGTGTAAGGGCCCAGACTAGATGTGTCTCAAGAACGTTTTCAGCCCCTGTGCCGATGAAAATCCTCTGTTCTCGGGGAATGCAGTGGTGATTCAGCACCAGGAAAGGAGGGAAAATGACGGCCTTAGGAAAACCTTTTCACCAAGATGTGCTGGAGCTTTCCAGGGAAGGAAAGAAAATTATGAGGGGGAAAAATATTAGTCCTGGGCAGAAAGAGGTTTTAGAAGGAAGCCCACTGCTTAATGCTAGGGGAAGGCTGCAGCGCCTGGGGTCAGCAGGCCTGTGCTCAGTGCAGGCACCGGCCCCAGGTCTTGCTCTCAGCAGTCTGTCTTCCTGCAGGAGGCAGCTGGAGTTGCAGGAGTTGCCTTTCTGCGCTGCTGGGGCCTGGGCGAGCGGCGTGCGAGTGGAGAAGGACGGCACAGGACTCTGGCAGGTGTGGAAGAGACAAATCCAGCAGTTTAACAGAGTCAGCCCTGCAACAGCAGCAGCTATAGCGGAAGCATATCCCTCCCCAAGCCTCCTGTTACGGGTAAGTCCTCAAACCCCTCGGTGTCCTACTAAAAGCTTGGAGGATGCAGGCAGGGAGGGGTGCCACATCTTAAAGGTCTTTGTTGATGCAGCAAACAAGCCCTGAGTGTGAAATTGGCTCTCCAGAAAGGCAAGGCTTGTCTCCCAATGGGCGTTTGACTTGAACCATAGCTTTGTTTTAGCGATAGCTACTTACCCCTCCTATTAGCCTTCCCAGGCCTCTCCCTGCCTTGGTCTCACCTCACAGGACCTGCTCAAAGCGTCTTTGCATTTTTGCTTGGCGATGCATTTGGTTGCCCACCCCAGGCAGTGCAGCTGCGGGTCTGTTGCATGCATCCCATTGCCCTTGTCCAACGCGGTCTGTCCGTCAGCTTTGCTTGTTTTTTTTTGAAATGGGTGATGTCTCAGGTGGCTGCCGTTACAGACCGACAGCTCTACATCACCCTCAAGCAGAAAACGAGTGTCACCCCTACGGACTGTGAGGGATTTCCACAGGACACCCAAGCTCTCTTACTGCTTGCTGTCACCAGCAGCATACCCCATGCTTTCCTTGATCTCCTGTTGTCTGATCCTTCAGGGAGCTGATTTAGCTCCCTAAATTCTCCCTCTCCCTACTCCCCTTAGCTTTCTGCTAGTTCGTGAGCTAGACTGGCCCAGCGAGGTGTTGGGGAACAGGATTAGACTAGGATGCTGTGTAACCCTCCAACAGCAGCTTAGCCAATTTATGAAGACACATTTTTATCAGAAAGTGTTCGGGTTTGTGAGCATTAATCACATAAATCCTTTCCATTAGATCAGGAACTGTAACAGAACTTTTTAAAAAGAGTATCATGTAGTCAAATACTCTCCTTTTTCTTCCCCTGGAGCTTTGATCTCTGTCCCTAGCATAGCTGCTTCAGAAGAAGTGGCTTTACAGCTCTCTCCTTGTACGCTGGAGGGGCAAAACACAACTCTGAATGTGTGTGAGGTCTGTTTGCAAGTGATAGATCTTGTTTCTTCTGGGTTTTAGCCCCTGATGTGGTACGTTTGGATGAAGGCTCAGTCATGGAGCCTCACTGTAATGATGGGATTGAGCCTTGCAGGGGAGACCAGAGCCTTCTCTTAGAGCATCTGTGCTAACTGCTTCCTTCTCTCGTGTGCTCAAAGGCCTACGAAGAATGCAGCACAGAAGATGAAAAACGACTTCTGCTGAGTGACATCCCAGTGAAATCGGACGTTAGCGGGAAAGACCGCCGCGTTGGGCCAGACTTATCCCGCCGCATCTACCTCTTCATGGTATCCACTGACCCCGACCTTGTCCTGGACCTGAGCGCGTAGAGGGACCGTGGGCCGTGTCGGTCAGCCTCCTTGTTTTATCTGCCAAGCCTCAGCAGTGGCTGAGCTGCTGCTGGCACGGCAGTGCTGCTGGGAGCCCGGCCAGGGGAAGCAGCTGATCCTGTTTCAGAACAGAGACCTGCACATCAATAAATGTCTTGTTACAGATGCTTTCTTCAGCCTCTTGGCTCTCCTTTCCTCTTTTAGCTGCCCCAGCTTTCTGCCCCCTGGCTGGAAAGCAGGCTGCCTCCTAAGAGAGCTAAGGAATGGCTGGAACAGGGGCTGGATGTGAAAGTGTTAGTGAGCTGTCCCTGAGCAGCACAGGGTCAGCTCCTCCGCCGAGACAGGCGCTTGGCGAGTCTGCCCTGCGCTGCCTTTCAGGTGAGTCGTTGAACGAGCCGTGCATTTTCTGCAGCGTGTCTTGAATTTTAATGTCCTGCACCCCACAGGCTCTGTGGTGAGGCTGGACCTGTTACCGCAGGTCTCGGTACCTGTTACCGCAGTTCTCGTGGCTTCCTCAGGTCCTGCCGGAGTTACTGCAGAAAACGTTTGCCAACTGTCAAAACCAGCTGGCCAGAGAGGAACCACATCCTTGGGGTAACACGGAGCTCAGGGCAAGGGAGGGGAGTTTGTTGGCTGAACTCCCAACACGAGGAAATGCCAGATAAGCTCCAGAAAACTCTATGCAAAATGGTGGGTTAGGATGGGATTCTCTTTCCCAAAGCAAACGCTCCGTTTTTTACTCAGCCATAGCCGCAGCCAGGACAGCAGGGGCCAGGGACCCCCAGTGCTGAGGTTTTGGTATTGCTAATTGGGGCCTTCCACGATGACACAGAAGCCCCTGAACTTCCTCCCATGAACCGCGGGCTCAAAGCAACGCCAACCGGTGCTGCAAAAGTGGGAGGGCACCCTCCGAACCAAGTTCCTCCTTGCCAGGGATTCTTCTGCCTCCATCTGCTAACACTTGATTTAGTTCCTGGGGAGGAGCAATCCAGCAAGGCTGTTTTTTCTGGCTGCAGCACTGATACAGATGGACTGACGGAGAGCCTGTCCTACTTCATTAAGGTTCTCATTCAAAGCCTGTCACCAGAGAAGCAAGAGCCATCTTCGCTTAAAGATTGGTGATGTGGGAA